CCCCCCCCCCCCCCACCACCTTGCAGCATGTGAATTTATCCTTCTCTTTCGAGAGCAGCGGCTCCTCCCGCCAGCAGCCACAGAAATCCCCCCGCCCTGAGCACGGGACTTACTTTCGAAATCCAGGAAAAAATGAGGACAGTTTTCTAAATCTTTGCCCAATACCTTTATCAGGTTGCCCATGGCCAGCAGACCTGAGCGAGAGAAACACAACAGAATGCAGCAGCGCAAGCGGGAGAGGAACAGCGCGCCCCGCGCCCGCCCCTGCCCTCGCAGGCTCCTCGCACCTGCCTGAGACCCCCTGCCTGGCCCACCCGCTGGCGGACTTACCTGCGAGTGCCCGGCGGGTGGGTCGTCCCTCTCCAAACACCTCTGCGTCTGCTCTCCTTCCCTCCCTTCCCAGCTAGGGGCTGTGGGGCGTGCTAGCAGGTAAGAGGCAGGCGAAGCCGGGCATGTCACAGGCCGTGGCACGGCGCGTCCCCACGGGCTGCGTGCGCTCCCCTCGCGCTCCGGGTATGTGTGTGTGTGTACGCGGAAATGCGACTGCTTCCCCCCGCCCTGACACATACTTCTGTTTTTCTATTTTGGAGGCTGGAAGGGAAGCGGCGAGCTTATACTGCGCCTCGTGCTTCCTGTGTGAGCCACCGGCTGCCTCGCCACCCCACCCCGAGCCTTTCTCCTTATCCAGAGCAGCATCTGGAGCCCGCCGGCCTCCCATGCAGGCTCTCACCTCTGCTCTCTCCCACTTGCTTGGGGCTTGGTCTGTTGGCCGTTTGAAAACCCTCCCGGAGGGCAGAGCTCCTCCCTAGAGCCCAGCTAGCAGTCTGGCTGGGCCTGGAAAGCCCCTGCCCCTGTAAGCACAGAGACTCTGCACTTCCCCAGGCAGCTTCTGGGAACCCGCGTGGCACGGTTCCACGAACGACCCGGGGCCAAGCTGGCATTCATCTCCTCGGGGCCCATGCTGACTCCAGGTGCTCAAGGCACTGCTCTTTATGGGGTGTAATCCTCCCCCGTCAGGGGTGGGGGAAGTGAGAGGCGAAGTAACTTGCCCAGGGTTACCGAGCAAGTCGGTGGCAGAGCCGGGAGCTCTCCTGACTCCCAGGCAAGGGTCTCTCTTCCCCTTGGCAGGGCTGCTCCTTGCCTGAGCCACCTTTGGGACCCGCCCAGTTCAAAGGGTGCGGCGCTGACAGACCCAGAGGGACCCTAGCGTGACTTTGCTTGGCAATGTAGAGGCGGAGAATAATCCTGTCTCCAGCGAGAGGGCAGCCCTGCAGCTGGGAGGCTGCAGGTCTATCGGCCGAGGTGTCGGTGCTATTGTGCGAGGTGCTGGTGAGGCCTTGCCTGCACATGGGTCTGGTCACCCGCAGTCAAGAAAAATACATTCAAGCTAGAGCTAGCACAGAAGAGGGCTGGGGGGAGGCTCGGGCCTGGGAGCCAGGCTCAAAAGCGAGCAAGCTGCAGGAGCGTAGCCTTGTTCGCCCTAGAAGCCAGCGGCTGAGTGGGGACAGCCTTAGTGTCTACAAAGGCCACGGGGAGGGGAGAGCACGTGCTGCTCATGAGCACCGCTGGTGTGAGAACAAATGGGAATAAACTAGCCACGGATTAAATTCAGCCTGGGAGCCAGTCACCACGCGTGGGAGGCTGGATTCCCAGCGCTTTCCTCCTCCCACTGCAAAGAGACCCCCGTGAGGTCACAGCCCAGTGTCTCATCCTCTCCCTGTCCATTTGCTGTCTTCATTTCCCTCTTCCCCAGGCTTTGCCTGCGGCAGGGACCCCAAGGCCCTGGGTTCTCTTTATACTCAGGGGGCATCTCGATGCTGTGTCCTACGCAGACAGACGCTGGACCAGCTACGGACAGGGCACCGGGGCCCCTGCTGTGCTACTCACTATGGTATCTCAGCTGGGCACAACCAGGCCTACAGCCAGCACTTCTAGGGAACTTCCTAATTTCTGGGCCCGTGGTGCAGAAGGGAGCTCTTCCTGAAGCGACTCAGGCAGCTGGGAGCAGGGTTTCTGTCTGCTTCCCCTCTGGCAGCGTTCAGCGCAATCAAGACACGTTGTCCACATGTCTAGGCATCGCTTGCTGCCAGCATCGGGCTTGAGGGCACGCCACCCAGCGCCCGTACCCTGCATCTCCTGCTGGACCTAGGCTACCTGCGAGCTCCCCGACGGTAAATGCCCCGTCTAGCGCAGAAGCCGTCTGCGTGGCTGTGAGTTGGGCGTCTGTTGTCTTTACCTTGGTTTCTGATGCTTCAGTGACCTCTATGGCAGGAACAGGGGCTGTATAATACTCATAAATCACTTCATCAGCTGGCAGAAACCTGCAGAGAGAAGGAGACACGGGGCATCACTGGAGGCTTCCAAGTTTAGACCGTCCGCCTGAGCTAAGCAGTTCCCATCCAGCCTGCGGGTGGTGGTGGAGGGGTGCCCTGGCTAGATCCCAGCCCCCAGCTTTGCCGTGGGAGCACCACAGAGCCCTACTGGGTTGCCCATAACCTTCTCGTCCTGGAGGAAGGTAACGGGGCACAAGCTAAGAGGTTACCCGCTCAGGGGTCAGCCAGTGGTATTGTAGGGCGGCAGGCCCCGAGCACTATATCTGACAACCCCATTGCCCCCCGTTGAGACGACGGGCAGGAATGGCCGAGCCCGCCGGGACGTGTCTCTCTCCAGGCTCAACTTTGCCGTCCTCACAAAAGCCTTCAGGGGACTGGACGGGCTCGTTTTCCTGCAGTGGCTTCCTATCAGCTCGTTAAATGGCACTGGCTACCTGCAGCCCAGGGCGAAGGTAACCGGAGGTAGCGGCTTCATTGATGGCTCCCTTGCTAGGACTGAAACGCCATCTGCAGAAGGACTGAATCGCTTTGCCAGCGCTGTAACCACCGGCTCTCCCGCAACAGCCCGGAGGACTGCGCTTTTACAGGTTGCAGCACTGCTGCCTCAATCTGTCGCTGGCTGCGAGACGGGACAAGAAGGCGCTGTAGCCTGGAGCACCGGGAAGGAAGGCCCCCGTGCCCTTGCATTTAGACTCGGTGCCTCCGATCTGCTTGCCCAGCTAGTTTCTCCAAGGTGTCGTTCACGGGTGGTCAGCCCAGGAGCCAAGAACGCCTGCCTAGGCAAAGAGACCCCAGCGGTTAGCGGCTGGCCTGGCACTGCCCAGTACCGTGCCCCTCCGGTAAGAGTCGGGCGTCTTGAACTAATTGTGCACAGCAGGCCGACGCTGTGCTGGGAGAAGTGGATACAAACCTCTTATTGCTTTTGGTTTTCCTGCGGGTTCATGGCTTCTCAGCATTGCCGGCTGCCTTAGGTTTGGTGGGCGCACAGCTGAAACCAGCAGGTCCAGCCCAGCTGCCAACAGAAACCTCTTGTGACCAAGCGTGGTAGAAAAGCACTGGCTCGCTCTGGGTCCCGGTGGGTGTTACCAGCCTTGGGGGGGGGCAGGCGATGATTGCAGAAACACAAGCCAGAATCTCTCCTTATCAGCATGTCAGGCTCGAGTCTGCGCTGGGAATCAGTCACCCAGAGAGGGCCAGAAGGCAGCCATCTCCATGGGCGGTGAACTTCAAAGCTAGATCATGATAAGTTAAATGTCAGCCCTACTGAGCATTTTGGCAGAAACATCTAGCTGCTCTGGGGCTGTGGGTGGACGCTGGCTTGTCCTCCTGGGATTGCTATCAAATGATCCCCTCCTGGACCCCTCTGGCAGGGTGGGATCCTTTGAGTCTCAGCAGCATGGGATGAACATCGGGTCTGAAACAAAGCTTTGAATGCATTACTCTGTAGTGCTCAGCACCGTGGGGGAAAGCCTGCCGATTCCCTTTTACTTCCCCCTTTCGCTCTTGCTTGGCATTATTATGGCTTCCTGCATTTGATGACAACGGTGCGCTATCGCGGCGTGCTTGCCCCTTAGATGCGAGACTCCCTCCCCGATCTTCTGCTTAGAGGGAGTTTCCCACCCCGGTGCGAGGTGCTGCGTTCCTGGTTCATAGGATGGGAGAGAGCAAAATCTCAGAGACGCCTTGGCGCCCTGGGGCGCTGCAGAGGAGAAAATGCTAAGTGACCCAAATAGGAGAACTAAAGATCTACTCTTGGCACCGTCCTGTCGCACAGAGCAAACTGCTGTGTAACGAGGCAGAAATGCCCCGATCCTCAGCTACGTCCTGTCCGACTCGAGGCGCAGAGGTGCCTCGCGCAGCAGGCAGACGGGCCGGGCTGCAGCGAACCACTAGTTCTCTCTGGAGCTCCCCACACGCCCTCCGCATGAGACCGAGCGAGCGTGCTGAGCTCGAGTCCTTCGGTTTAAGGAACTGCCCATCGCCATAAGAGTGACCCGGCTCCCTCTCCTGGGGGTGCTGGGGAGAAGTGGGCCTCCCCGGGGCACAGGCAGAGACGCCAGGCAGGCTGCTAGCGGGGAGCTGGGTTGCGGAGCTAAGGCACGGGCTTAGAGCTCAGGCTTTCTGGGTTCGTTCCAGTCCCGGACACGAGATCCCTTTCCCTGCCCAAGCCACAAAGCCAATAGTACTTCTTTTCTCCTACGTTTTCTCTACCTCAGCTGCAAACTCCTTCGGGCCAGAGTTCTCCCATAGTACGTGTATGCGCCGTGCCCTGACTCAGTGCAGCCCAGCCCTGGCCGCAGCCTTTGGGAGCTGCAAATAATAATGATTTTTAAATCATTTCCATTTGGAAAAATCCATGGTATATTCACTCTGTAGGGGAGCACGGGGCACACGTACTGAATTGCAGCCGGGAACCATAGCCGTCTTCTCTGTTTTGTCTCTGTCTCTCCCCTGTTGCACTTGAGCTGAGTTTCAAACTTCATCCGTAATATAATGGATGGGCAGAGGGGGAATGCAGCCTGGAGGATAGATAGTGACTACAGCATCTTTCCTGATGGAAAAGGATAGGGTTGGGATCCATCAGAAGCTGGGAACTAGATTTTCTGGACACACTCTTCTGTGTGTCATTATCTTTAAACGCCAAGGAAAAATAGCTCTGAGTTTGTACGGCACCTGCCAAGGGGATCCGGGCCCATGTGCACGCAGCAGCAATGCAAGCGGAGAAAAATGAGCCGTTGCAATAAAGCTGGGGGCACTCTGTGTTCATTAGAGTTGGTACACGGACCATTTGTGTTTTGTTGGGAGTTTTTTTCCCTTCCAGACTGACTGCCGGAGAAGCGTGCTGGAGTCTGGGCTGTCTCGGTGACTCCTCAGCCATCTACTTCAGCTGGCGAGTTCAACCGATGTCTCTCTGCAAACCCCCCAAGCTGGCTCTTTGTGTTTTGCATCTCACCCTTGGGAGCGATGACTCTGCCCTTGGGAACAGCTGCACCCTCCTCTTGATGGGGTAGAGCCCAGCTCACCCTCCGCGGGCCTGCAGGGTAGTGCGAGGAGTGGCACGAAAGGCCCTTTTGCTGCCACCAGCAAAGGCTGAGGGGTGAGGTGCTGCTTTTACACAGTCCCTTTTTTTGGCCTGGCCCCCCCAAACTAAAGGCCCCCCCACCCTGCCAGCCAGAGCTGCCACACTTGGGGCTAGGGGTCCTCACTCCTGTTGTGGTGATGCCCCTTGGCATCCTGACGGGCACGGTTTGTGGAGTGCTTTCCATGAAGGCATCTGAGCTGCATCACTCGTGGGCAGAGTGGCCTTGCTCCCAGCATCTCTGTCCCTTATTTGCCTCTATTGCTCTTTATTGCCAGGCTTCGGCGGCATTTGGATGCCACCCAGCCCTCCGTGGAGGACTCCGAGCCTTGTTGCTATCAGCTTTGCCAGCGCTCCAGGCTGACATCTGAGCAGAAGGCTTCTGGGGGAGGACGGCGCTCTATCGCATCATAATATTTAGCTTTCCCCTCCTGTAAACTCACTAGCCAGCTCATCCCCGCAACAGCCGCGGAGATGGGCTTCGTTGGATGGGAGAAGGAGGGCAAGCAAGCAGCACTAAGGCGGCAAAGGGACTTGCCTGAGGACACTGAGTGAGTAAGTGGCACTGTTTGAGTTACCGCTCCCCTCCACCCACTTGTTCCCCTCGGGCTGTGCTGGGAGAGGCGCTGGCACGTCCCTCCACCTCTCCCCAGCCAGACCTCTCTATTACGAGGCAGCCTGTGCCCTCAGCAAAGCCACCAGGTTTCAGAGGGACACCAGCTCATGGGCTGCAGAGTAGTCTGGGCCCGGGATGTCACTCGGGCTTTGGCTACTCAGCACTCCTGAACTGTAGCAGCTGGGCTTGTTCCCCCTCAGCCTGGTCCCTGTGTGGCTTTCCACTCCTTTTTGGCCCGCTTGGGCGTCCTGGGTTGTCTGGCACTGCCCTGACCACAGGCGTGGGTCTTGCTAGGACTTCGACTTGGGCTGTCTGGGTTGGACCCTCTCAGGCAGCCCCAGCCCCTGGTCTGGATTATCCTCAGATCCACGTACTTGTCTCTCCCTGCTCCTCCAAGCCGCCTGTGACCCGGTTTTTATGGCCTCGCCTCGCAGCCCGGCTACCGAGCTAGCTCAGTGAGAGGCAGCCGGCGGAGAGGTGGGAGGGAAGGCTTGCCCCCGCTGTCCTGCTGAGCTACTTTCCGCCCCTCGCCGGGAGATCCCTCGGGTCGGGCAACACTGAACCAAGCTCCTGCTGTTCCCACCCCTGAGCTCCCCGGATGCCCTTCTTTTTCTTGCTCGCTTCCTCCGCTCTGCACCCCGGGAGAGTCGGGGTCTCCAGCTCGCTGCCGGGAGCTGACAGCAGGATCCCCTCTCCAGCCTGCTGCCGTGCAGTGGTGAGAAGTGCCCCCCCCGCCCCACAGCATCCAAAGCCAGTTTAGTCATTTATTGGATTTTCCATATCTGCACGAACTGACGATCCGATCGGACGCCCGGGGCTCTGTTTAGCCCCAGCATAACTCCACGCTGATCAGGGCGGGTTTGGGCCATGCATCTATCTCTGGCTCCTGCGTGAACTCCTATTATGGTGTTATCCGAGCGCCTCGGACGTTTCGATCGTCACGACGCTCCTCTGAAATAGGGACGTTCTGTTATCCCCTTCCGCAGACAGGCAAACTGAGGCATAAGAGAGAAGCGAGGGGTTTCTTAGTGATCTCTTTCTATGGGCCCAACCGTACGGCTGGGAGAGCGAAAGGCACCTGGTGTGCCAAAGCTCGCCTGACGTCTCTCCCAACTGTGCAACTGGTCCAGGACCAGATGCCGCCCCTCAGTGAGGGGCTCTTTTGCCCTACAGAGACTCATCAGAGAGCCTCGAGCTGCCAAGGTGACTTGGAGAGAACTTCTTTTTTCCTCTTTCTAGTGGAAGTGCTGCCCCCGGACCAAGGGGTCACTGCTCAGCTGTGCTGGGTGACGA